TGGATTAAAGACAGACTTAAGAATCATATTTAGATGCTAACTGAGCAAATGAAATCAGAGGGACAAGGTAAAGAGTAAGAAGAGATCTGACCACAGAACTCTGAACAGAAACATTTGTACCTTCTAGTTTTTTTTCCACAAACAATAAACAGTAAGTACTGTGATAGACTGCAAGTCCATATTAACTTTAGATTTTACAATCATCAAGTAGAAAGGACAGGAGTATACTCCCCACTCCCTTTTTCAATTAGAAAGAAAGAACTACAAAAAGAATACATGCTGGTTAAAAAGCCTCACTACTACTCTGTTTAATACCATAATGGTGGATACATGTCATTTTGCATTTGTCCAATGTACAAAGACAAGACTGAACCCTAATGTAAGCTATGGACTTTAGGTGATAATGATGTATCAATGTAGGTTCATCAATTGTAACAAATTTACCACTCTGGGGGATACTGATAATGGAGGAGGCTACACATGTGTGTGAGGCGGGTATGCGGTATGTCTTTGTACCTCCCGCTCAATTTTGCTGTGAACCTAAAACTGCTCTAAAAAATAAAGTCTGATTTAAAAAAATTGCTTTTAATCCTCCATACAAAAGAATATATAAAAAATTATTAGTTTTATTCCCTACTCAGCATCCAACTCCCTCCACACATTTTTTCCAAAAAAATATATGGGGAAAGGAATCTAAGGAAGTTAACTGACAAATCTTAGTAGCTAACAAAAATCTATATTAATTAAGAACCAAGCACTATCAAGAGTCAAGGATTATGTCAATTATATGCAATTTTAAAAAGAGTTAAGGGGCCATAATAACAAAAGTAATAGATAAATTGAATTCTAACATTTTTGGGAGTTCAGTGTTTTACATAGAACAAAATAACTATTGGGGCACCTGGGTGGCTCAGTCGTTAAGCGTCTGCCTTTGAATAAATCTTAAAAAAAAAAAAAAAAAACTGACAAAAGCTAAAATTAAAATAAAGAAAAAAAAGAACAAAATAACTATTTTGTAACCCATGCTTTGCCATTCAACAAACTGGTGTCACTTACCATATTTTATTACTTTTTTTTTTAGCAGTTACATTTCAAACCTAGAAAGAACTATAATTCTATAAATGATCAAAGTCATACCTCTTAATACATTATTGTGTTTTTACATCTTTCTCCAAAATTAGTCTACTCATCTGCTTTTTCTTATACTTGTCTCCATGGCAGAGATCCAAACAGAAAAGTCTAGACTTCGTTAAAGATGGACCATGAATTTCTAAACAGGGCCCAAAGTCAACACATACGCAGTTTCAAGGTTTTTTTGTTTTGTTTTGTTTTTTGTTTTAAAGATTTTATTTATTTGACAGAGACAGACACAGCGAGAGAGGGAACACAAGCAGGGGGAGTGAGAGAGAGAGAAACAGGCTTCCCGTGGAGCAGGGAGCCCAATGCGGGGCTAGACCCCAGGACCCTGGGATCATGACCTGAGCTGAAGGCAGATGCTTAACGACTGAGCCACCCAGGCGCCCCCAGTTTCAAGTTTTAACATATATTAACATATATATGAGTGAATGTTTACACAGAAGATAAATGTATATCTTCATTATATCATAGCAATATCCCAAAAAGAACTTTAATCAAGAAAACATCCAATTTTTATTTTCCAGTTCTATTTAATTCTAAAACCAGATGGCTTTTAGAGACATTAAGGAAACAAGATATGACTAAACATCTGTGCAAATTAGCACAGGTCTGAATTGTGGAAGAAATTAGTTTGGTTTATGGAAAGCCAAGTAAAAACTAATCCAAACCAAAACTTACTCAGGACCATTTTTACTTCCGGCAACTTTAGCTGCTGGTTAGAAAATCTAGACCTGCTATGACATTAAATGGTGAAATTTTATTGGACTATAAAAATATTGGTAGATTTAGCAGCCCTTTCTTTCAATTGAACACTACTGTTGCTATTTCATACCACAAGTATGAGAGCCATGAATTAGACCAATAATTCTAAAGTGGAAGCCAGTGATAAACCATGTTACTAGATCTTTTTTTTTCCTTCAAAATATATCTACCTCCCTTCACATTCCCCCTACCACTAAGATTCTGAAGGGAAGTGGAGGTGATATAATAGATAGGTATGTGTGCCTTTTTTTCTAAACTCCTAGATTATTCTGATACATATGTAACTCTCCACCTTCAGGAGAACTTCTGAATTAGGTCCAACTCTATTTTTTAAATAGGCAGGCAAAGGACCAGAGCTACAAAGAGACAAGAGCTTAGTAGAAGGCTCTGCAGGTAAGGGCTATATTCACACCAGTTGTAAGCCACCTTCAGAGCTTTCTGTGTCAGCTCCCTCCAGAATTCATGATGTTATATTTTAGACAATGACAAATATTCAGTTCACCATCCTGAGAAAGGCACATAGTCTACTAGCCAGATAAAAATGTAAAAAGAAGCTATTTTGGACATCAAAAAAACTAAGAAACCACAGAGAATGAAAGACAAAAATTCCTCTGTTCTTGCATTAAAATAACAGCAAAGTACTTTTTTTTGGTGCAGCTGATAACTTGTCTAGAGACCTTCTGTCCATATTTTATCATTTTAGTTTTTTATTATGTAGCATTGGTTTTTCTATTTAAAGCTCAGCAAAGCTGAAAATCTTAATGGAATTTAATAAACTATTAAATGCCAGAACTGTGTATTAAAAACAATCAAACAAACCTAAATCCATATTGCATGTCAAGATGGCTTAAGAGTTGGATTTAAAAAGCTTTGAAGGCCCATTTTACAGCAAAAATTATACATCTCTACAGCAAGTGTTTCAAATTCCTTATAAACAGCTCCGATACTGAAATATGTCAGAAAAGTAGGCTTCTAATGATGTATAAATAATAAGCCAATTATTATTATATTCTGATTCTGACTAGTGTTTCTTAAATCACTTGGTAATTTCCTACTCAATGTTCAACTTTGTTGCATTCTACAATGACACCTACTGGCCATTCAAACTCAGCCCTTAGTTCTCTAAGACAGCTCTAGTAGGCTGGTTACATAAGAAGATACACACAGAAACACACAAACACACAGGCACACACTCAAACCACCCTGCACAAAAACAGAGATTTATTTACAGGTACTCACACTACAGAATTCCACCTAAAATAGAAAGTATTCTTTGCGACTGAGATAGTATTACTCTTGCAAAAAGGTAAAAAGACAGAGTGAAACACCCAGGTATCAAAATTTTTAACTGAAATCTTAATAAATATCTCAGTACTCTCAACATTTCAGAACAAACTTTAATGATCCACCTCTCTTTGCCAAATGATATTTACAGAAAAAAACGAATCTTTTAATTTAGGTTTGGGATATACTAATATTAAAGTATCATTAATACAAAAAGGAAAATTATACAGTTGCTCATACTACATTAATCCTTCTCAGCTAAAGGCTACATTTCAATCAGCTTACATTTTAGCAATTTATAATGCTTCTTTTAAAGTTTTCCAGTGTGCTATAAAATCTAATTTTTAATGTAGTTCGTCCTTCTGTAACACATACTGAATGAAATTCCTATTTTATTCTACATTCCATTGTGCAAACAATTATAAAAACTCAGAAAAAGATAATAATTTACAGTTCATTGTGTCTGTAAATACACTTTACCTCAGTTGGAGAGGTTCAAAGAGCATACTTTCTAAACCTAAGAAATAATTCATAACTAGTTTATCAGACGTAAAAAGCAAATTACTTAAAAGATGACTTCTCCCCCACCCTATCCCCCTTCAAACCGCCACCTTATCTTCACAGTCCCTAATATCCACAATATGTATGTGGGGGGGAATCTAGCAACTAATTTTCTAGTCATTTTCCAACTCGCACTTACCTTCTACTATAGATTTTTGAAGCTCTCCACTTCCCTGAAGATAAAAAAAAATTATTTATCATCAGTCTTGACCCTCAAAACAAATTCATGAACTGCAAAACATGAACCTGGCTGCTCGTCTCAAACTAACGTATCTCTCAACCCAAGTCCGTATTTGGGATAAGCTTTTCCTCACTATCCTTCATGCTTCTTCGATAACGCCGAGGTAGAAAGCACTCAAAGCAACGAAAAAAACTATTCTGACACATCAATAGGTTGCAAGACCTCCTCTTCCAAGGGCGACAATCTAGTTGTTTGGGTAAATAATAGCCAAGGATTACATAATGTATAGCTATAAAGAGTTTGAAGGATCTGACCGCCAGTAAATATGTTTCTTCTCCACACACCCTTCCCACCCCGAGAAATGGCCATAAGAAGCAATTCCTAGGATTTCTCTCCGGTGCCTGCAATGCCGCGTCCTTTTTTCTCTTGGAGCTTCGTGCAAGAATTCCTCCAGCCCTCACGATATCGTCTTGCTCCCGCCTCTCTCCTCTCTCTGCCACTGCCACCGCAGCACCCCACACCCTAGGCCCCCACATCGCCTCGCAAGGTTCAGCCTCCACCCGCCTCAGCTGCCTTCTCCTCACGACCCTCCCAGGCTGCTACCAGGTCTACGCGAGGTTCCGGAACCACCAACACTCCAGCTACCGCCTTCCCAGACCACCCTCGTCACATGCCCTCTATAGTTCCCGCAGCCCGAAAAGAAGAAAATCCCTCCTGATCTAGCACTCTGCGTCCCCCAAAGACAGCGCCGCCGCCTACCTGTCACCCGGCTGCCTCCGGCTTCTTACCGCCACCGCCTCCCGCAGCAGCCTGCCAACTGCAGCGCAACAACCAGCCTTCCTATTGGGTGCTTACACGCCCTAACAACTGCCTCACTTATTGGCTGGAGCATGTTCGCGGCCCTCCCCTCTGTGCAGTGTCTAAGGATTCCGGTCTCCAAGCAAGGAAAATATCGCCTCTTCCCTGCTTTTCTATCCTCTACAATTATTCTTACCTCAGTCAGACCACCTATGCACAGATGCGCGGAAAAATGTCGACTTCCAGCACCCAGCACCCTTCCTGTCCTCTCCACTCGGCCCAGGAATCTGTGACCTAGTGCGGAACGTTAAATGGCTCCTCTGCTTTCCTGCCGTAAGGCACTCCAGGAGACAACTTCCGTTTCCACTTGGCTCCGGCTGGAGGATTGACTATTGAGTGTCGTGAGAGGTCGGAGTGCTGTCAGGTAAAATAGAGTTGGTGGGAGGCCTCTTAATTAGGAATTAGAGTGAGACTTTGTTCTGGGGATTGTAGAAAAGGGGAGACTAAATGGAGAATGGTCTTGAGAGTATATATCTCGAGGGAAGGGGATCGAAGAACTAGCAATAGAGGACAATGAAGTCCTGGGATAGTGAGGGGTAGTTTGTAGAAGGATGCGGTGAGAATTACTGTTGTAAGTCCGTGTGCTTTTTCCCTCTTTTTCCCACCCGCAAACCCTCGCCCTGTGTCTTGTGGTTTACCTCTGAATTGAATAAACGCAGAACAGCTCTAACTCGAAGAATTGTAAAATAAGAATAATTGCAATGTCTGCCTCACAACAATCATGTATGGTTTTAAGCAAGGCTTTTCTGGTGTGAATGTTTATGGTAACGTTAAAGTGAAAAAAGCAGGGTACAAAAATCACATCCATTTTTAGAGGGATTACTATTTTTAAATTGCATATAAGTAGGTGCAGGGACTGGAGGGGACACGAAAAGTTCACTTGTCTTTTATTTTTTAATGTTCTTAGTCACAATTTTAAAAATGAGGTGTAGTTGGGATATATACTTGAAAGTCATGGATAAGTCATAAAATTACATGTACTATAAGTGGCATTATCCTTTTATTTTCTAGTTAGGGAAAGTATGCCAGCCCCCAGTGGAGGTGGAGTTGATCTCCACCAAAGTAGAGATTCACTCCAAACACAGGTAGCTAGCTTTTTAGAAGTTTCATGATAATATGTTTTTTCTTTGTTGAACTAATAAACTTACTGTTTTTTGTCTGAACAGTTCTGAAACTGAAATAATTATCCAATGTTGAGTCCTTGGCATAATTTGTCATTTATCTAATTTTAGTTTCTATTGTGAAATAGCAGAAGGGTGTATAAAATATAAATACACTTAAAGAATTACAATTAAGCAAACCCTATGTAACCACCCCTCAGGTTAGAAAATAAAACATTGCCAGGGCGCCTGGGTGGCTGTCGTTAAGTGTCTGCCTTTGGCTCAGGTCATGATCCCAGGGTCCTGGAATCGAGCCCCGCATGGGGCTGGCTCTCTGCTCAGCGGAAAGCCTGCTTCTCCCTCTCACAATCCCCTTGCTTGTGTTCCCTCTCTCGCAGTGTCTGTCTCTGTCAAATAGATAAAATCTTTAAAAAGAAAAGAAAAGAAAACATTGCCAATAACTTAGAACTTTGCATTCTCAGCAGAGGTGATTATCCTTCAAAGTGATGAAAATTGGTTCTTGGTTCTTGGTTCTTGGAGGGGAGGTGAAAAAAATCTTAAAGACTACTGTGGTTTGAGGCCCTCCAAAGAGCCATGGTACATTAGCAGATAAATACAGTATATCCATGGTATTACAATTTAATTGGGGGAGGGGAGTAGGAATGTGATAAGGAAAAAAATATCTGAAAAAACTCCTTTGGGGTGCAAGAATTAAGAATAGATTGAAAAACACTGCCTTAGAAGCTCTGTGTATGAGCTTCTGTGATTCTGTCTCCTCCACCAAGAGATAGCCATTATCCTGACTTGTGATAAACATTCACTTTTTTCGCTTTAATCTTTCCATGTATGGTGCATTTCTAAAAAAAATGAATTATCTGGTTTTTCAGTTTATGTAAATGGGATCAAAGTGTATGTATATTTTAAACTCACCCCTTGTTCATTATTTGTGAGATTTGTTCATACTTTTGCATGTAGTTTTTCATTGTGTATTCTGTAGTGTGACTTCTGTAAATAATCCATTATTGTTGTTGGATATTTGGGTTGTTTACAGTTTGGGGCTAGCCACATAAACAATCTGGCTAAAAAGATTTTTATAAAATACATCTATTGTTAAAATATATATATGTATATAGTTACACGCATGTAAGAGTTTTTTTTATAATAGTGCTGTCCAATGAAAATATAATGCAAGGCTCATATGTAATTTACAATTTTCTAGTAGCCATATTAAAAAGGTAAAAAGAAAGTTAATTTAATTATATATTTTGTCTAACACAGTATATTCAAAGTATTATTTCAAGATATAATCAGTACTAAAAGTCATTAATGAAATATTTTACATTTTCTTCATACTGTCTCAAAATCGATGTATTTTACACTTAAATATGTTTCTATGGTAAGTTTTCATAAATATAAACACTTGATCTGTGTTTATATTTTGCAAAATTTACAATTGAAAAAGTAGCTCCATATGCCTAAATTGTTCCAAACACACTTTAAAATTTTCCAGTAACTGATTTGAGACTCCGACTTGAAATTTAAATTAATTAAAATTAAATAAAAATTCTAGTTCCCCAGTTGCACTATTCACACTTCAAGTGCTAGTGAAAACCATATTGAATAGTGCAGATCTAGACCATAAGGTATTCAAATGTTTGACATTTCTATGTCAGACCAGTTTTTCACAATGGTTGTGCTAAGTCACATTCTCACCACCTGGGTGTGAAAGTGGAAAACACATCACATTGTGTTTTCCACAAATCTCACAATCTTGCAAGGTAGGTTTTATCCTCATGTTATATGAGGAAACAAATTCAGAGAGATTAAATTATTTGCCCAGAAGTGTATAGCTGTTAATAGTGCATCCAGGATTAAATCTGTATACACCAAAGTCTACACTGAAGTAGAATTCTAAACTTCCTTCAAGTGATCATGATATCATTGTTTGATTTATGGCTATTCTGAAGTAGAAATAATTTTAAAAAGAAAATGAAAAGTTCCCTAGAAATTGTGTTGTTCAGCTCTTTGAAAAGTCATTGAAATATTCTATTTAGTAAATGCCTATAAAGGGACACTTTCTGAAATATTTTAATGAGGTAGAAGAGAAAATGCATTGAATTTATTAAAGGAAATTAGGAGAAATTAATATGATACTTTCATGTTTTCTCTCAAAGATCTATCTCCCAAATTACTTAATATTTTGAACATAGTAATATTGTAACTTTGAAATAACCTTCATATATGGTAATGCTTCCATTTTTCTTTTCTTTTTTTTTTAAGTTGGAGGGGTGCAAAGAGAGACTCTTAAGCAGGCTCCCTGCCCAGCGCAGAGCCCGACACAGGGCTTGATCTAACAACCCTGAGATCCTGACTTGAGCTGAAATCAAGAGCTTAACCAACTGAGCCACCCAGGAGCCCCTCCATTTTTATTTTCAAAATCAAACTGTTTCATCGAAAGATTTTGATTTTTTTTTTTAATTTTTTATTTATTTGCGAGAGAGAGAATGAGAGACAGAGAGCATGAGAGGGAGGAGGGTCAGAGGGAGAAGCAGACTCCCTGCTGAGCAGGGAGCCTGATATGGGACTCGATCCCAGGACTCCAGGATCATGACCTGAGCCGAAGGCAGTCGCTTAACCAACTGAGCCACCCAGGCGCCCTCATCAAAAGATTTTGACATTTGTCTTGTATTCTTTTCCAAGTATGTTGATACTCAATTAGGGTTAATATTCTACAATTGATATTTGCCAAAATAAGGGTTTGTCTTGCAATCTCTTCAAAGATTTTTGGAATGAAATATTAAAAAAAAATTTTTTTGAAAACATGGTTTGAAGAAACCAAGATATCCTTCTAATTAAACACTTCTTAAATATTTATTTTATAATAATGTATTGAACCTCAAAATCAGCCTGAAATCTGAAACCGTAATTTTTTCCTTTTTTAAAATTTTTTTTAAGATTTTTATTTATTTATTTGACAGAGAGCGAGACAGCGAGAGAGGGAACACAAGCAGGGGGACTGGGAGAGGGAGAAGCAGGATTCCCGCTGAGCAGGGAGCCTGATGTGGGGCTCGATCCCAGGAGCCTGTGATCATGACCCAAGCCGAAGGCAGATGCTTAATGACTGAGCCACCCAGGCGCCCCATTTTTTCCTTTATATTATTAAATCCACCAAATAATAATGAAATAATAGATCAAATGTTTCATTTGAAATTGTGAATGTTGTTTTGGCTTGTGTTTGGTGGGTATTGGTTTTCATTCTTTTTCTGAATGTAAAAAACATCAAAATAATGTTTTGTGATTATCTTAATATGTCTAAATATACAGTGTTGGTTAATTTGTCAGAATTACTATGTATAACTCCCCCCCCCCAATATTCTGGGAACTAACGTTTAATGGAATGAACATTTCACATAATGTATCTTTAGTAAACACTATCTAATAATTACCTCTGTCTTCTAAAATACAGTGTAAGAGCCCTGCCTTATTATTGGGCCTGTTCAGAGTTATAAAGGCAGACATAATGGTAGTAATTATTTGGTTTGGTTTTATTTCTGGAGAGCAGTGATTATAGAATTGCTACTGCTAACCTTATACAAAAGGGGCATTAATTCATACCTCCTTAATTTTAAATTCATAGCAATTTAACTCGGGACTGAACTGAAGTTTATTTTTACATTATCTATAAAAATAACACTAGTGGGGTGCCTGGCTGGCTCAGTCAGTAGAGCATGTGACTTTTGATCCCTGGGTTGTGAGTTCGAGCCCCATGTTGGATGTAGAGATTATAAATAAATAAACTTTAAAAAAAAATAACACTAGTAAAACTGAAGTCTTATAACCATTACAGGCATATTTTATTTAAGGAGCCTTAGGGGTCCTAAGGTCTCTGTTGGTGTAGTTCAGGAGTCAGCAAACCACAGCCCGTGGCCAAATCCAGCATATTGCCTGTTTTTATACTGCCCATGAGCTAAGAATGTTTTTTACAGATGAACATCTGGGATGAACTTGCTAAGGAACCCTAACTTTGAGCCCCAGTTAAGCAAAATGTTATCCCCAAAAAAGGGAATTTCATTTTTTCCATCAGACCTGTATTACAAAAAATTGTACTCAGTTATTATTATATCTTGAATTTATCAATAAATATTTTTTCTCTTGTTATATAACTACCTACAAGATATCCTTGATTTTACCTCTTGGTCCACAAAGCCTGAGATATTTACTATCTGACTCTTTACATAAAAAGTTCATGTGATCGGGGCGCCTGGGTGGCTCAGTCGTTAAGCGTCTGCCTTCGGCTCAGGTCATGATCCCAGGGTCCTGGGATCGAGCCCCGAGTCGGGCTCCCTGCTCAGCGGGAAGCCTGCTTCTCCCTCTTCCATTCCCCCCTGCTTGTGTTCCCTCTCTCACTGTCTCTCTCTCTGTGTCAAAATAAATAAATAAAATCTTAAAAAAAAAAAAAAAGTTCATGTGATCATAGATACTTAAACACAATAACACTGCATTTTAAAAGAATCTTCTGAACAACATAGGTAACAAAACAATATGTACATTTTCATGATGCATATTTACACATTGTGAAAGGACTAAAAAGAAGGAAACAGTATTGCTTAGAAGTTAGGAGCAGGGTCTCCTGGGTGGCTCAGTCGGTTATACATCTGCCTCCAGCTCAGGTCATGATCTCAGGGTCCTGGGATCGAGCCCCACATCGGGCTCCCTGCTCTGCGGGGAGTCTGCTTCTCCCTCTGCCTCTGCTTGTGTTTGCTTTCTCTCTCTCTCTTTCTCTCTGTCAAATAAATAAATAAATAAATAGAATCTTTGGGAAAAAAAAAAAGGAGCAAGGGCTCTGAAACCAAACTGCAAGGTTCAAGACCAATTGTACCGTTTACTGTTTTTGTTACCTTCAGAAAGTTCCTTACCTTGTTGGAGCTTCATTATCTTCATGTGTAAAATGGTGATAATAACTGTAATTTAAGTTCAAAGGGTTGTTTTAGGAGTAATGGAATTAATACATGTTAAAGCACTTTGGTGCACCTGGCATGTAGGGCACAATAAATGTGAGCTGTTCTTATAATGAAGAAAGGAACAAAATAGGAAATGGTTATCTCTGAGTGGTGGGATTATTTTTTTTCCAAAGATTTTATTTATTTATTTGTCAGAGAGAGAAGAGAAGGAGAGAGCGCACAAGCAGGGGGAGCGGCAGGCAGAGGGAGAAGCAGGCTCCCCGCTAAGCAGGGAGCCCAATGCGGGGCTCGATCCCAGGACCCCGGAATCATGGCCTGAGCCAAAGGCAGCCGCTTAACCAACTGAGCCACCCAGGTGTCCCAAGTGGTGGGATTATTGATTTTTTTCTTTTTTATATTTTGTATATGTGTATTTCCCAACTGTGAATATACACTAGTTATGTAATAGGGTGCTTTTTATAAAACCTGTTACCTCAGAATTTTCAAGTATTTATATTGGCTTTCCTTTTAAAACATTAACAAATGTTTGGGTATTTGATATCTACAATCAGCATAGTTCTCTTTTATGTTAATCTTATCCTTTAGACATGGCCCATGGACATGGGCATGAACACGGCCCTAGTAAACTGGAACTTCCAGATTATAAACAATGGAAGATAGAAGGGACACCATTAGCAGTTGTCCAGGAGAGGCTGGCTACACGAGGGCTAAGGGATCCATGGGGCCGGTAAGAACAAATAATTTAGATAGAATTTATTCTAGAGGATCAGTATCTATGTTCCTTTTCTTTTCTTTCTTTTTTTTTTTTTTTTTGATTTATTTAGCTATTCTAGGTTCTTTGTATTTACATTTAAATGTTAAAACAAGCTTTTCAGTTTCTACAAAAAAGCTGCTCGAATTTTAATTGGGTTCACATTAACTCAGAGCTCAACTGGGGATAATTGATGTCTTAACAAGTTAAATCACTATATTGTATACCTGAAACTAATATTACACTGTATGTTAACTAACTGGAATTTAAATAAAAACTTAAAAAAATTGATATCTTAACAATATTGAATCTTCCAGTCTATGGACAGTTTAGATTCTGTTTAATTTTCTCAGTAGTGTTCTATTGCTTTAAAAACAAATCTTGTGTATATTTTGTTAAATTTATCCTGAATTATTCCGTGTTTTATGCTATTGTAAATGGTATTGTTAAACTTAAATTGTCAATTTTCTTTGCTAATATGTGAAAATACAATGGAGTTTTATATATCAACTTTGTATCTTGTTTCTTGGCTAAATTCACATTTTTGTTCTAGCAGATTTTTTTTACAAATTTCTTAGAATTTAATAGATGATCATTTTGTCTAAAATCAGTGTTACTTCTTCCTTTTCAATTTGTAAAGTTTTTATTTCTTTCTTGCATTATTACACTGGCTAACACTACTAGTATAATGTTGGATAAAGTGTTGTTAGCTGACATCCATGCCTTGTTCCTTTTTTTTTTTTTTAATCTTTTTAAGTAATCTCTGCACAATGTGGGACTGTGAAATCAAGAGTCACATGTTCTACCAGCTGATCCAGCCAGGAGCCCCTGCCTTGTTCCTAATTGGGGGAAAGCATTCAGTCTTTCACCACTAAGTATATTCGTTGTAGGGTGGTCATAGATGCCCTTCATCAAGTTGTGGAGTTTCTCTTGAGTGTTGAATTTTTTTAAATGCTTTTTCTGCATCTATTGAGATGCTCATACAGTTTTTTCATTCTGTTAATATGATTAATTACTCTTACTGATTTTAAAATATCAAACCAATCTTGCATTCCTTTTTTTTTTAATCTTGCATTCCTGAGGTAAACCCTTCATCATGATATATTATCCTTTCATATATTGCTAGAATCAATTTTCTAAAGTTCTGTTGAGAATATTTGCATCTCTGTTCATGAAGGATATTACCCTGTAGTTTTCTTCTAATGTCTTTGTCTGGTTTTGGTATCTGAATTAGATTTGATTAACTCTCATATTTTCTACTAAGTCAGATTTTTAGAGTTAAGTGGGCTTTTTTTTATATAACATAGTTTTTTCCACTCATTTATCCCTACCTGTGAGAGAAGACTTTTTTTTTTCACTAGAGCTCTCTGAATTCTGTTTACTTCTCTGTTCAAGATACTCAGAAGAATGATGGCCAGAGCAGGAAGTCAGTCCTCTTTTTTCTTTTCTTTTTTTTTTTTTTAGAAGTCCGTATTCTAAAGCTCAGGCAGCTATGACAGGAAAAAGCTCTGATTCTCTGGAAGAATAATAATATTAGGTGTTACATACGCTCTGTGCCAGAATATATCATACATTACCTGTTTAATCTTTATAATAACACTATAAGGTAGATAGTAATCACCATTGAGTAAAAGAGGAAGCAGGCCCTAACTTGTCTAGCCTAAAAGGTTGTGAATCTAAGTGACAGAGCAAAGTTTAATGCCCAAGTTTCTAACTTCCTCTTTAAATAATGCTGTAATGACTGGTGTGGGCAAAGCCACACACCTGACCTCTAATGAATAGGCTGAAGTCAGTCTTGCATTTGGGAATTCTATAAAATCCTAAGTATTAATGACAGTGAAATCAAGTCTTTTTCTTCTGTTTTATATGTGAAATGTGGGCATATAGACCTAATTATCTTATATCACAGAAAGACTTCTATTGTGATCCACTTAGATATCTTATATAAGGTTGCATTTAAGTCTGTTAGGATGAAAATTAAATCTGTTTTAGTGAATGTATATAAGTTGTGTGTGATTATAATTTTTCCCTTTTTTTCCTCTAGCAATGAAGCTTGGAGATACATGGGTGGCTTTGCAAACAATGTTTCCTTTGTTGGTGCATTACTAAAAGGATTCAAATGGGGATTTGCAGCATTTGTGGTAGCTGTAGGGGCGGAATATTACCTGGAGTCCAAGAATAAAGATAAGAAGCATCACTGAAGATAATACCTGGAAGTATCTTAAAGGCTTCTTAATTCTCTTATAAAAATAAGATTTATTCAATGTAGCCTACTCATCTGTGTGTTTTTCCCTTCAAGAATACTAGTAAGATTTAATAAAGTAAGAATACATATGCTAGTCTGTTTTTATAATTCTTTAAAAAAAAAAATGTCTTGGCTCAGTTGGCAGAGCATGCGACTCTTGGTCATGGGGTCATGGGTTCGAGCCCCATGTTAGCTGTGAAGATTACTTTTTAAAAAAATGTCTCGGGCGCCTGGGTGGCTCAGATGGTTAAGCGACTGCCTTCGGCTCAGGTCATGATCCTGGAGTCCCTGGATCGAGTCCTGCATCGGGCTCCCTGCTCGGCAGGGAGTCTGCTTCTCCCTCTGACCCTCCCCCCTCCCATGTGCTCTCTCTCATTCTCTCTCTCTCTCAAATAAATAAATAAATAAAAATCTTTAAAAAAAAAAATGTCTCAAGCCATTATCAGATTTGGTTTGAAATATGGGGGGAGACTGAGTACCAGCAGTAGTGCATTCTGCATATGGCACTAAGCCAGCATATATTTGAACAAATGGATATGTTCTAAAAGGTTTTGTTTTTTGTTTTTTCAAGTTCTTTTAGTGTGGTAAAGTTTGCCATCTTAACTACTTTTAAGTGTGCAGTCTGTGGTACTAAATACAATCAAAATGTGCAACCATCACCACCATTCATCCCCATAACTCTTTATCTTTTAAAACTGAAAGTCTATGCCATTAAACAATAAGTCCTCATTCCCCCTTCTCTCAGCCCTTGGCAACCACTATTCTACTTCCTATCTCTATGATTTGGGCTACTCAAATGTACCTCATATAAATGGAAGCATACAGTATTTGTCTCTTTCTGACTGGCTTATTTCACTTACCACAATGTCTTCAAGTTTCATCCATACTGTAGCATGGGTCGAATTTCTTATTAAATCTGAATAGTATTCCATTGTATGTATATACTACATTTTGCCTTTCATTCATCCATTGATGGACACTTGGTTTGCTTCCGCATTTTAGCTATTGTGAATAATGCTACTATGAACATGGGTGTACTCTAACGGGATTTTAAATGGGAATTAGCCTGGCTGTTTTTAGCATCCTCTGAAAGTGCTTTAGATTATACTATAAAACACTTGCTGCCCAGTTCTGATTGACATATCCATGTATCATGTTCATTTTTCTTTATTGTGATATTATCTACCCTTAGTCCTCATTATCCCAACAATTTGAAAAGTTTGACATTTTTTTCTGTATTTCTAACAACAAACTACACATTCTTCCCACACTGAATTTTTAAATTTTTAAGAAAGATTTTTTGTATTTATTTATTAGAGAGAGCGTGGGAGGACAAGCCAGGGAAGGGCAGGGGGAGGGAAAAGCAGGCTCCCTGCTGAGCAGAGAGCCCAACATGGGACTCTATCCCAGGACCCTGAAATTACGACCTGAGCTGAAGGCTTAACTGACTGTGCCACCCAGTTGCCCCGATTTTTTAAATTTTGATTAATTAAATTTCTAAGTTGAGACAAACTCAGCTTCTTGAAGAGGTAATATTATAGCTTGAATAACAAAGTTAATATAAAACTCCAGGGTGATTTTTTTTCTTTATAAATTTCTTCTTTATAAACATAAACTTGAGGAATCACTCAATACATGAGACAAGAATTCCTAATAGTTGTAAATGGAATGTGGTAAAATGGAGTAATAAAAAAGACTGCAAAAGATAAGGAAAGTGTTTAACAAGCAACAAATAACAATAGGAAAAATACAAATAGCAAGATGGTAGATTTAAATTTGATCGTATGAAAAAAATTTGATCATATGAATAATTATATTAAATGTAGAATGCTCTAAAATTGAAACTCTAAAATCTTTCAATTAAAACACAGATTGTGGGGCGCCTGGGTGGCTCAGTCGTTAAGTGTCTGCTTTCCGCTCAGGTCATGATCCCAGGATCCTGATATTGAGCCCCACGTTGGGTTCCTGGCTCAGCAGGAAGCCTGCTTCTCCCTTTCCCACTCCCCCCGCTTGTGTTCCCTCTCTCGCTGTGTGTCTCTCTGTCAAATAAATAAAAAAATCTTTAAAAAATAAAAAAATAAAGTAAATAAAATACAGTTTGTCAGGCAAAAAAGTAAGACCCAAGTGTAAGCTGTTTACATGAAAATTCCTTTAAAACCTAGGGTAAAAGTAGAAAAATAGAAAAAATATACTGTGCAAACAGTAATGAAAAGAATAGTGACAAAATAAATTTCAGAATAAAGAGTATTCTCACTCCATAATAATGGAGGATTCAGTTCATTAAGACATAAAAATCCGAAATGTATATGCACAGAGCTTTATTTTTTTTTAATATGTCCAGATTTGTTTATTAGTAATCTGAAACCAGGCCATTACAATAAAGTATGACAGCTACAGGAATTTTGAAATAAAAGATAAAAGGGGTTCCTGAGGTTGTACAGAGCTTTAAATTATGTGAAACAAATAGAACTAAAGGGAGAGATAGGCAAATCCACAATTACAGTTGACAATTTCAACACTCCTTTCTCAGTAATTGATAGAAAAAGTAGAAAATTAGCCTATAGAAGACCAACACTATAGCTTGATGTAGTATTTATAGACCACTCTGCCCCAAAACAATAGAGCATTCATTCTTTTCAAGTGCACATGGACCATTTATCACAACAGACTATATTCTGGGCCATGAAACAATATATTTAGGAGGACTGAAATTACACCAAACATATTCTCAGATCACAAAGAAATTAGACTAAAAGTAACATATCTGAAAAATCCACCCATATTTGGAAATTAGATGGCATACTTGTAATACCCCCTGCTCAAAAAAGAGGTCTAGGGAAATTAGAAAATCTTTTTTTCTTAAGTTTTTATTTTTTTATTGATTTGAGAGAGAGCAAGAGCACAAGAGCGGAAGGGGAGGGGCAGAGGGAGAAGCCGCTCCCCATGGAGCAGAAAGCCCAACGTGGGACTCAATCCCAGGACCCTAGGATTATGACCTGAGCCGAAGGCAGACACTTAACTGACTGAGCCACCCAGGTCCCTGGGGAAATTAGGAATTCTTAACTGGATAAAATGAAAAACACCAAAATCTGTGGGATGCAACTAAGAAGACTGATCTCTAGCCAAACTGATAAAAGACACAAATTAATATTAGTGATGAAAGCAGAGATATCACTACAGATCCTAGAGACATTAAAACAATAAAAGCATTTTGCAAACAACTTTATGCTAATAAATCTTGATGAAATTGACAATGGCCTTAAAAAGACAAAACTACCAAAGCTCACTCAAGAAGTAGATAACCTGGGGTGCCTGGCTGGCTCAGTCAGTAGAGTGTGAGACTCTTGATCTCAGGGTCATGAGTTTAAGCCCCACATTGGGTATAGAACTTACTTAAAAAATTAAACAAAAACAGTAGATATTCTGAATATCCATGAGTAAACTCATTTGCTGGGTTAGGTGCAGAAAAGATGGAAAGTGCAGTGCTTGACATGTTTATAACCGAGAATAACAATAATTTTTCTCTCCTATTTTAGAGTATTTATTATCCATCATAATTTTTTCTGGAAGCAAGGAGTAAAGTTTTCCTTGTATTTTGTTAATTTGAAAACTATTGCCTGAATTCCTTGGGAGCTGCGGAGAATACAAACCAGTCATCTTAGCTGTTGCCATTACTTGGACTAGAACCAGTTAAATGTAATATTCATTCTTTTTATATATTTATGCACTTATTTGTTTGTTTATTTATTTGATAGAGACACAGTGAGAGAGGGAACACAAGCAGGGGGAGTGGGAGAGAGAGAAGCAGGCTTCCCGCTGAGCACAGAGCCCCAAGTGGGACTCAATCCCAGGACCCTGGGATCATGACCTGGGCTGAAGGCAGGGGCGCCTGTAATATGTATGACCAGGGCGCCTGGGTGGCTCAGTTGGTTAAGTGACTGCCTTTGGCTCAGGTCATGATCCTGGAGTCCTGGGATCGAGTCCCCTGTCGGGCTCCCTGCTTGGCGGGGAGTCTGCTTCTCCCTCTGACCCCCACCCATGCTCTCTCTCTCTCTCTCAAATAAATAAAATCTTTAAAAAAAAATGTATGACCAAAGTACAATTGGAAGTAATGTTAATTATGTGTTTACTAGCCTCATAAATAAGCACTATAGATGACTATATGTAAAAATATTATTAGCTCCATTTTGTATATAGGGCAAATCCATGGTGAATTAACAAAGCTTAAGATGGCACAGCTAGGGTGCCTGGGGGCTCAGTCAGTTAAGCGACTGCCTTCGGCTCAGGTCATGATCCTGGAGTCCCAGGATCGAGTTCCGCATCGGGCTCCCTCCTCAGTGGGAAGCCTGCTCCCTCTGACCCTCCCCCCTCTCATGCTCTGTCTATCTCATTCTCTCTCTTAAATAAATGAATAAAATCTTTAGAAAAAAAAAAAAAAGATGACACAGCTAGTAAGTTCCAGAGTTAGATTTTCGATCCAGGTCTGACTCCATAGTAACCACCATATTACAGTACCTATCATGTTGTATGTGATAAGTACTATAAAATGCCATAAAATTATTCTTTTAGATCTTATCTCAGAACTATCTAATTTTACAGTAATTTTATTGTCTTCCTGTACTTTGAACAAAACTATTTTGATACACCTACTAAAGCAGATTCACACATTTTTTGAAAAGTAAGATGAGAGGGAAAAAAGTAACATAGAGGGTGTCAGGGGACAAGGTGGGGTAGAAAATGTACATAAAGAAAAAAACATGGAAACAATAAGTATTTATACATGTGAATGGCCAATATGATAGAAGAAACAAATTAGAAGAAAACGAAAAAGGAGAAGAAGGGGTTGCAGGATACTGGCATGATGGGAACAGTAGAGACAAGCGGAACTTAGTATTCAGTGTATAATTACAGGCATAGGGTGTATTTACAGTCATCCACTTGCCACCTCAATCAAATGTAGATTTTAATGATACTGTGGAAAGGAAGATACTTTTGGTTTTTTGTTTTTGCTTTTGTTTTTTTAATTTTAGAGAGAGAGCGCATGTGAGCAGGGGCAGGGGTAGGGGGAGAGGCAGAGAATCTCTAGCAGACTCCTGATGCCGGGCTCAATCTCATGACCCTGAGATCATGACCAGAGCAGAAATCAAGAGTTGGACACTTAACCAACTGAGCCACCTAGGCACCCCCAAAGGAAGATGCTTTATATTGGGGTTTAAAGAAAATGCACAGTCTGCATATTAAAGTAAATTTTTTTAGCTTCATAGAGACATAGGACATTGGCAAGGCCCACTAAATTAGGGGCTAGAGAGAAGTATTCCAGGAAAAATAATTTGAGTCCTACCCTTCATTCTTCTCATTCTCTTCCCTATTTCTGATCATATTTACCATTTTTCTTTTAAAATTTTGGTTATCAGAAAATAGACTCAGGCGACTGGGTGGCTCAGTCATTAAGCGTCTACCTTCGGCTCAGGTCATGATCCAGGGTCCTGGGATTGAGTCCCACATCAGGCTCCCTGCTCAGCGGGAAGCCTGCTTCTCCCACTCCCCCTGCTTGCGTTCCCTCTCTCGCTGTCTCTCTCTCTCTGTCGAAAAAGAAAAAAAAAGAAAAAAGAAAATAGACTCATTTTCTAACATGATGGTCCCCCAAATGGGATACATGCAACTCAAGGAAGGTGCAAGACTACCCATTAAGGAGAGAAGAGAAAATATTTAAACTTACATATATTTTTTTTCATGTTTAATAAAAATGAATTCAAGTTTGCTGAAGTTTATTGTATAAATTGACAGTGGGATTTTCCTCATTTGGTGGATTCCAAGTGGTCACATAGAATTTATAGTAAATAGGGTATCTTGAAGGGAAAGTGGGAGTTGTACCCTCCAAAGGAGAGAATAAAGGAACTTTTCAGCAAATTGCTGCAGATGGTACTTTGTATGTGTTTGGTTTGTGGAATTTATTATCTACTAGTTTTTTTTTAAGATTTTATTTATTTAGGGGCGCTTGGGTGGCTCAGTCGTTGAGCATCTGCCTTCGGCTCGGGTTGTGGTCCCAAGATTCTGGGATCGAGCCCCATATCGGCCTCCCTGCTCAGCGGGAAGCCCACTTCTCCCTCTCCCGCTCCCCCTGCTTGTGCTCCCTCTCTCTCTGTGTCTCTCTCTGTCAAATAAATAAATAAAATCTTTAAAAAAAAAAGATTTTATTTATTTATTTGAGAGAGAGAGAAAGAGAGCACATGAGAGGGGAGAGGGTCAGAAGGAGAAGCAGACTCCCTGCTGAGCAGGGAGCCCGATGTGGGACTCCAGGATCATGACCTGAGCCGAAGACAGTCGCTCAACCAACTGAGCCACCCAGGCGCCCCTATTATCTACTAGTTTTAACTAAACTAATCTTCATGAAGTAGATAAGTGACTTAGGAAGGTTTTTACAAAGAAACTGCTGATTGAAGCTAATACCGGTAATGCAAAAACAAGAAACAAGAAGAAAAGAACAGAGCTATAAACTCTTGTCAGCAACATTACTGGGTCAATACAATAATCTAATCATGAAAACAGCCAGCCAAAAAAAAAAAAAAAATCAAGAAGACCAAAATATGGACTTGGACCCACTATTAGTACAATGAACCTTGCCCTAAGAGTACATTGATCTGAAAGAAAAAAGGCAAGGGGGGAGGGGAGGAGACAAACTTATATATAAGAGACTCTTAAGTATAGAGAACAAAATGAGGGTTGTGGAGGGGAGGTGCAGGGGGATGGGCTAAATGGGTGATGGGGATTAAGGAAGGTACTTGTCATAATGAGCACTAGGTGTTGTATGTAAGTAATGAATCACTAAATTCTACTGAAACTAACATTACACTATATGTTAACTAACTAGAATTTAAATAAAAACTTAAAACATGAAGAGTACACTGATCTATTAACTAATGATAGCATGTAGTCATGATAAGCAAATATTTTTAAATGTTTAATCTTTGCCTTAACTTTAATTTCTATGTGCATTTTTAATGTACATAGATGATAATATTTACATATTACATATAAAATGTTAAGACAAAGATTGGAGTTTAATGTGATTTCTCTTCATAATATTCTGTTGTCATTAAAAAATAGCATTCGGGCACCTGGGTGGCTCAGTTGGTTAAGCAACTGCCTTTGGCTCAGGTCATGATCCTGGAGTCCCGGGATCGAGTCCCACATCGGGCTTCCTGCTCGGCGGGGAGTCTGCTTCTCCCTCTGACCCTCCCCACTCTCATGCTCTCTCTATCTCATTCTCTCTCTCAAATAAATGAATAAAATCTTTAAAAAAAAATAGCATTCAAAAAACTCATAAATTTTTAAAGTATTTTTTCAATGTATTGGCTTATTACATAAAACCCAGGTAGTTTACAACAGAAATTGAATGTTCTTTCATGACAGCCTCTCATTCAGTTGGCAACATGAGCTTCAAAATTTGATATAATCCTTCTGATCCTCAAAATCTCTAGAGTTGCAAGGTATTCAAATTCAAATAACTATGCTAATGGGAGTGGAATCCTCCTAGTGAGTTTTGGCTTACCTCCAATATCAATTTGGGAAGTGGGGGAAGAGGGCTTTGGTGTTGGGGGGTTTTCTTGATTTTATTTTATTTTTTGTAAAGATTTTATTTATTTATTTGACAGAGAGAGACACAGCGAGAGAGGGAACACAAGCAGGGGGAGTGGGAGAGGGAGAAGCAGGCTTCCAGCGGAGCAGGGAGCCCGATGTGGGGCTTGATCCCAGGACCCTGGGATCATGACCTGAGCCAAAGGCAGACGCTTAGACTGAGCCACTCAGGCACCCCGGTTTTCGTCCTTTTAAAATATTTTCGTTTTGGGTTGGAACATCAGCTTCAGAAACTAAGAGACTAGAACACCTAATGGAAATTGCATTTACTTGCCAATGATTCTATCAGAAAGGATCTACTGCAAAGAGAAGCTTTACCTTAATTTTATATATTGCATTATACATGAAAGTATATAATATTTTATTTTTATGTTGTATTACATTATTATATATTGTAAATATTATATATAATAAAATATTCAAAATGCTAACTCAAAGATTATATTATTAAAAACCATATATTGTCTTTTTTTTTATAAAGATTTTATTTATTTGACAGAGAGAGATAGCGAGAGCAGAAACACAAGCAGGGGGAATGGAAGAAGAAGCAGGCTTCCTGCCAAGCAGGGAGCCCGATGTGGGGCTCGACCCCAGGACCCCAGGATCATGACCTGAGCCAAAGGCAGATGCTTAATGACTGAGCCACCCAGGTGCCCCAAATTCCGTATATTGTCTTAAATTGAATTACCTTTGATACATACAAACAATTTAAAACATAGCTTCAGCTATTAAAAAAAAAAAAAAGACAAAATCAGGGCACCTGGATGGCTCAGTCCATTAAGTGTCTGACTCTAGATTTTGGCCTGGGGCCTGATCTCAGGGTCCTGAGATCCAGCCCCGCCTCAGCTCCTTGCTCAGCCCCAAATCTGCTTCAGATTCTCTCTCTCCCGCTCCCTCTGCCCCTCCCCCTGCTTTCTCTCTCTTTCTCTCTCTCTCTCTAAAGTAAATAAATAAGGGGCACCTGAGTGGCTTACTCGGTTAAGCATCTGCCTTTGGCTCAGGTCATGATCTCGGGGTTCTGAGGTCGAGTCCCACATCGAGCTCTCTGTTCAGTGGAGAGCCTGCTTCTCCCTCTCCCGCTCCCCCTGCTTGTGTGCTCTCTCTTTCTGTCTGCCAAATAAACAAACAAATAAATCTTTAAAAAGAAAAGGGGGGGGCGCCTTGATGGTTCAGTTGGTTAAGCATCTGCCCTTGGCTCAGGTCATGATCCCAGGGTCCTGGGATGGAGCCCTGCATCACATTGGGCTCCTTGCTCAGCGGGGAGCCTGCTTCTCCCTCTGCCTGCTGCTCCCCCTGCTTGTGTTCTCTCTCTCTCTGTCAAATAAATAAATAAAATCTTTTAAAAATAAAAAAATTTTAAAAATTTTAAAAATAAAAAAGAGTAAATAAATAATCTTAGAAAAAAAGACAAAAAAATCTCTTGTCTCAAGGTCTGTGTGTTTTTCTGTTTAATCTCACGTGGAGAAGAAAGGAAGGAAGGAAGGAAGGAAGGAAGGAAGAAAGAAAGAAAGAAAGAAAGAAAGAAAGAAAGAAAGAAAGAAAGAAAGAAAGAAAGAAGGAAAGAGAAAGAAGAAAAAGAAAGAAAGAAAGAAAAGAAAGAAAGAAAGAAAGAAAGAGAAAGAAGAAAAAGAAAGAAAGAAAGAAAGAAAAGAAAGAAAGAAAGAAAGAAAGAAAGAAAGAAAGAAAGAAAGAAAGAAAGAAAGAAAGAAAAGAAAAGAAAATGAAGTAACTCTTAAAATGTGGCCCCAAATTACAAAACTAACTGAAAAGAATTTTGGTCATTGCAAAAGACTTATGTTTCTGGGAATCTATTACAAAATAAGAAGACTACGTACACTTAAAATATAATGTAAATCAGGTTTTCTGTCATTTGGAAAAGTCATACATTTTCATTCTGTGTTTTAAAGCTGAAAGTAAACTCTTTTAGTAAACTCTACCCCTAACATGGGGCTCTAATATCATAACCCCAAGATCAAGAGTTCAGACTCTACTAAGCCAATCAGGCACCCCAAGAATAATTTTTAGTAATATTCCAAACAGTGCTCTTCAAAGCAAATTATGTCTAAAAAGAAATATTTTGCTTTTAGATTTTTACCAATTACAGTATTTGAAAATTAATTAAATCTCATTATAAAAAAAGCATTTATACCCCCTACAAATGTTCCACCTACTCTAATTTTAATTACTCAATTCCCAAACTGAATTTGGAAATAATAAAGGCATTAAACCTACATTTTCCTGCTGATCTGGTAATTAACCCAACAACTTTATAAATTTAGTTATTTAAATACATTAATCAGACATTTTTACCTTACGGCAAAAGAGCAAGGAGATTGGAAAAAAATGTTTGCATCATACATGTATTTTTTTAAGTTTTAAGTAATCTCTACACCCAACATGGGGCTGGAACTCACAACCCCGAGATCAAGTCCTAGGCTCCACCAACTGAGCCAGCCAGGAGCCCCTGCATGAAACATTTAAATGAATTACACAGTTAAGTGAATGTTGTGTGACTGTAACTCTTCTTGTGCTATATATATGGTATATTTTATTTCATTTATTGCTACCAAATTTCTGTGGGAAATACTAACTGTTCAGAGACATAGTACTGAAAGCCAACTTTGTGGTTCACAGTAGCTATAAGGGTCCTAAAAATAAAGAATGCCTGTGGTAGCACAGATGGGATCACTTTACTGAGGAAGAATGAAGTTCACCGACAGTGGTAGCACCTAGACCTGGGAATCCCACGTCATAGTAATATAAACCTGTGAGGGTTTAACACAGATATAAAGTCTTAAAATTAGATCGTATGTGGAGACCGGACTTTCTAGTGAAACAAAATTAAAACTAGAACTATATCTGTAGATGCTGATTAAATTCTAACAAGGAAACAGGTCGCAGTTTATGGGCATTCATAATGCCTGGCTAAGTAAGATTTAATAAATGCATGCCTCCCTGGATGAGACTAATTGAAAAGCAAAGAAGGAGCGTCCAGAAAACTGGGTCTCCTTTGTAGTTTCTGGGCTGAAAACAGCCAGATCCTCATAGCGGCTCAATGTACTCATCCAGGGAGTAAATGCTTGACTTCGGAGAAACATTTATCTTTGGCGGTCATGTACTCCATGTACTTCCTGTCTGCACGTGCGTCATGAGCACAACTCGTTCTAATCACACAATACTCCCTATGCCATTGCCCTGATTTTTAAGGCTTCTCACTCCTTTTTGCTTTTTATTATTATTATTATTTAAAGATTTTATTTACCTATTTGATAGAGACACAGTGAGAGGGGGAACACAGCATGGGGAGTGGGAGAAGAAGAAGCAGGCTTCCCACTGAACAGGGAGCCTGATGCGGGGTTCAATCCCAGGACCCTGAGATCGTGACCTGAGCCCAAGGCAGACGCTTAAATACTGAGCCACCCAGGTGCCCCTCCGTTTTGTTTTTCTCATTCCCTTATGGTATTGGTAACATTCACAATAAAAGTGGAGGCAAAGTTTGGCTCAGGACCTTTCACCACGAGAGTGTCTGGTCCCCCCTTGCCTTCTCCTTTCTCCTACTTAGACGTCTGGAGTAATCTTTTCATTCACTGCCTCGGGGTTTGCTGGCCAAACCCAACAATTCATATATTTAACAATACAGGGATTAAACTCAAGGTATTAATTCCTTAATTCATGACCTGTAAACACTTCCTTATATTTGATCTGGGTTTATCAGCAACAATTATAAGTCTATCAATTTCTACATTTATAAGACAATGAAAGAAATCTTTTATAGCCTATACTCTAGACATACTTCTATTACAGCACTTATAATGCATCATAATTATTCATTTACTTGCCTGACTCCCTCATTAAACCATGGCCTCCTTGAAGACAGGGACTATACCTGTGTGTTAGGTGTTTAGGAAGTATCTGTTGAATGAATGAATTCATTAGAGATCTAAAAATACAAGTGACGTGATAGGGATGATTTGTTGCGTATTAACACCTCATTTATGAATCTATAAAGGTTTAAGGAATGAAGAATGGAGAGATTCACATATTTTCCAATGTCTAGGAGGCTTCCAGGATTCCAGCTGCCTATCAGAAAACTGACATTATTTACAAAAAACCTGTCATGGTGAGGGGCACCTGGGTGGTTCAGTCGTTAAGCGTCTGCCTTTGGCTCAGGTCATGATCCCAGGGTCCTGGGATCGAGCCCCACATCGAGCCCCACATCGAGCCCCACATCGAGCCCCACATCGGGCTCCCTGCTCCATGGGAAACCTGCTTCTCCCATTCCCCCTGCTTGTGTTCCCTCTCTCGTTGTGCCTCTCTCTGTCAAATAAATAAATAAAATCTTTAAAAAAAACAAAACAAAACAAAACAAAAAACCCCACAAAAAACCTGGAATGGTGATGTGTTCTGGGATTGGAAAGCCCTTCCCCAAACCCATGGCAAGGACATTAGAACTGAGCTAGGGCTAAGCTTTTTGACACATGCTATATAATCTTTTCTTATTTGTTGAGTTGGTGATACAAATACTAACCATCAGAGGTCAAGACCAATTTCTGCTGCATGCAACCAATTATTCTCTGGCCATTGCATGCAATAAACATTTCTCCTTTAACACATTGGTCATGTGCTTTCTTTTGTCAGAATTACAAGAAACAGAACTCCTGAGTGCAAATAATGTGGCATTCTTGTCCAACCTTCTTCGAAGATCCAAGTCAAGGAGATCCATGGAATTTTAACAAGAAAAGAAGCAGATGTCTCAGTTTCTTTTCTTTAAATTCTATTCATTCACTTAAATATTTACTGAATTATTTAAATATTTAAATATGTATACACACACATACATACATACATACATACATACATACCACATCTTCTTTATCCATTCATCCACTGATGGACACGGGTTGTTTGTACATCTTGGCTATTATAAATAAGGCTGCAATGAACACGGGGGTGCAGATATCTTTTCAAGTTGTGTTTTCATGTTCTTCAGATAAATACCCAGAAGGGGAATTGCTGGATCATATGGTAATTCTACTTGCAGTTTTTTGAGAAACCTCCATACTGTTTTCCATAGTGGCTGCACCAATTTATATTCCCACCAACAGTGTACAAGGGCTCCCTTTCTTTCACATCCTCACCAACACTTGTTACCTTTGGTCTTTTTGATAATAGCCATTCTAACAGATAGAGGTGATTTCTTATTGTGGTTTTGATTTGCATTTCCTTGATGATTAGTGATGTTTGGCATCTTTTCATGTACCTGTTGGCCATCAGTATGTCTTCTTTAAAAAATGTCTATGCATCAATTCTGCTTTTTTTTAAAAAAAGATTTTATTTATTTAACAGAGAGAGAGCGTGAGCACAAGCAGGGTGAACGGCAGGCAAGGCAGAGGGAGAAGCAGGCTCCCCGCTGAGCAGGGAGCCCGACGTGGGACTCGATCCCAGGACCCCGGGATCACGAGCTGAGCTGAAGGCAGATGCTTAACCAACTGAGCCACCCAGGTGCCCTATCATATTTGCTTTTTAAATGAAGAGTATAAATTCTCATTTAAACTTCTTATACACAATTACCTCCATTCACTAACACACAAATCACATAGGTTTAGCTGCGGTGCGGTAAGAATTCCAAAGCTCACCATCTAGCAACTTGTTGAAGCCCCAGGCTGTATTCTTGAATTCCCACATTCCTTTTCACTCCTTGTCTTACTTACTGGAACCAAACGTCTACCAAAATTAAGAATAAAGTTGTGTTCCAAATCTTTTTTTGTCTTAGCCTCCTTTGGGACTACAAAGCTGCACCACCCATTCTGGTTTATTTTAAGATTGTACACATAAGCCACATATGACTCTACAATAATACTTGAACATTGTTTGTACAGCAGAAGTATGTCCAAGTGTTTTTTAACAAAGAGCAATATGATCAGATATCCGTGTATGTAGGTTAGTTTTTTAATGATAGCTATAGAAGCAAATAATTCCTCCAAAATTAATTTTTTGCAGTAATACAGATGTCCAAAAATACTTTATTCAACTTTATTTATATAAAAGTATCTTGTTATAGAGTTAGTATTTGTGTCAATAGCATTAGTAGTTATCACTCAATTTTGATTGAGGTGGTAAGAAGATGGCTATTTCTCTTAAAGCATAATTGATGTGAAGGCATATTTCAATTCAGTCTCCATATTTATATGATTGAAATTCTCAATTTTCTTTTTTTGGGGGGTTTCTTTTTTTTTAATTAACATATAATGTATTATTTGTTTCAGGGGTACAGGTCTGAGATTCATCAGTCTTACATAATTCACAGTGCTCACCATAGTACATACCCTCCCCAATGTCCATCACCCAGCCACACCATCCCTCCCACCCCCCTCCCCTCCAGCAACCTTCAGTTTGTTTCCTGAGATTAAGAGTCTCTTATGGTTTGTCTCCCTCTCGGGTTTTGTCTTGTTTCATTTTTCCCTCCCTTACCCTATGATCCTCTGTCTTGTTTCTCAAATTCCTCATATCAGTGAGATCATATGATAATTGTCTTTCTCTGATTGACTTATTTCACTTAGCATAATATCTTCTAGTTCCATGAAATTCTCAACTTGATAAAACTTTCATAGCACCCAGGTAGATCCCAACATTACCTAGAGTTTGGTCACATAGTCAGAAAGTTTAAGTTATTTTTGGAAAATTTTTTAATTGAGATATAATTGATATACAACATGGTATTTTTTTAGGTATATGAAGTAATGATTTAAAATATGCATATATTGCAAAATGATCACCAGAATCAGTTTAGTTTTATCATTCATCACCTCACATAGCTAATTTTTTTTTTCTGGTGATGAGAAGTTTTAAGATCTACTCTTTCAAATTTCCTGGAAAATTTTCACAGGAAAACTGGTAGGATGGTGTTTGACCTATCTGGTCCTGAGGTCTGGGGTAGAGGGCATTTACCCAATCAGGTCTGGAAAGAGTACTGAAAGCTAAAGCCAAAAAATCCTGTCCAAATGAACTGTGCAAGTAAAAAGGATGTGAGGATAGATTAAAACTCAAGGGAACCACCAAGCCAGGCAGGCAAAGAAAATAAATGCAACAATTCTGGGCAGTAAATGACAGCTGTCTGGATGAACACTAGTGACAGCTGGTATTGCCTGGGGCTGAATCCACATTTTAGGGCTGTTCTGATTCATTTAAAAATTCTGGAATGGAGCAGATACTAGACTTCATATTCTGGCAATATTCTAGAAATATTGTATCTTTAGCTCAGTTCCTGTCCAAAGGGAAAGTTATGGGACAGAATGACAGGTCAGTCATATCCAGGGGCATATCACTGGTTCTAAGCAATTTAACATGTTATTTTGTGTACTTTTATCATGGTTCTTGTACTTGGGGTTCTTTGGTTCATTGAGCGTCTTTGATCTATAGATTTGTAACTTTTATCTAGTTTGGAGTTTTCAGCCATTATTTCTTCAAGTATTTTCTTTGGTCCCTCATATATTTCTTGAGGGCCTCTAATGACATATATATTGGGCTGATTAAAATTATATAACAGATTTCCTGATATTGTTTATTTTTTTCTTTCAGTGTTTTTCCTCTCTGTGTTTCATTTTGCATAGTTTCTATCGCTATGTCTTCAAATTCACCGATCTTTTCTTCTTCAGTATCTAATCTACTGCTACCCTCATATAGTATATTTTTCATCCCAGACATTGTAGTTTTAATCTAGAATTTATTGTGGATCTTTTAATATCTTTAATGTTTTGACTTAATATGCTCAATCTTTCCTCTGTCTTTTTGAACATGTGAAGTATGGTTATAGTTTCTTCTTAATATACTTGTCTACTAATTCTACTATCTGTGGCATTTCTGGAGCTGATTCTGTTGATTGATTGCTATCCTCATTATGGGTTGCCTTTTCCTGGTTCTTTATATTTTTGTAATTTTTAAATTAAATGTCAGGCTTTGTGAACTTTACCTTGTCAGGTGCTAGATATTTTTGTATCTATAAATATTTTTGAGCTTTGTCCTGAGATGCAGTTAAAGTATTTATAAACAGTTCAATCTTTTTGAGGCTTGCTCTTAACTTATATATATGAGTCTAGAGTAGCTTTGAGTGTAGGGCTAATGTTCCTCCACTGCTCAGTGACCCATGAATTATAAGATTTTCTACTGTCTGGTGCAAACTTGATTCATTCTTGTCTCTGGATGAGCTTTGAGAATTGTTTCCTCTGCTTCTTTTAGGTAGTTCTCCCACACACTTGGATGGTTTCTCCCCTCATGTGCACTGATTAGTAGTTAGCTGAAAACTTCAGGGGAACTCTCTGAAGATCCTTAGAGCTGTCTCTCTGTGCATTGCTCTCATCTCTGGTACTATGCTCTGCAAACTCTAGGCACTTTAGCCTCCCAAGACTGTGTCTCCACAGTTAAAGGAGATGACTAGGCTTTGCCTGAGTTCTCTCTCCCTGTGCCACAACCTGGAAACCTTCCAGGCAGCAAGCTAGGAAAATCATAGGGCTCACCTCTCTCAAGGATCACTGTCCTACACTATTTGACATCCAATGTCTGCAAACTGTTGTTTCATACATTTTGTTGATCTGGTTTTTAAGTTGTTTTAGACAGGAGGGTACTCTAGGCCTTCTTACTACATCTTGCCAGAGAAGAACTACAAAATCAACAGAACCACCAGTGGTTGCATGAACTGCATCTGAGCTTCTCCACATTCTGAGATTTAGATGGTATTACATTTGCAAAGAATAAGACAGTCCCAGAAGCATTTTTTCACTCACTCAACAAACATTTAAACACTATGGGAGAAATGGTTAGCAGTCTACTTAAAATCCACTCTCTTTCCATATGATAGAATTGTGCTTGGGGAGGGACTGCAAGCTCAGGCGCTGCGGTTTTCCATACACCCCCTACCCTCCACCCATACACATACACATCTTGCTTCTCAGTATGGCCATATGTTTAGTATTCACCAATGGAACATGAGTGAAAATGAGATGTATGATTTCTAGGACAAGGATTTTAAGAAGCAGATATGCCTTCTTCACACTCTTTCCCCTTCTGCAGACTGACTGCTGAAGATAACAAATCCCCTGGAAATGATGAAGCCAAAATATGAAGGAGTCTCAGTCTCTGAAATCACTGCATGGCAGGAAGCTGTCTGCCAGAAATACCTGCATTGTTTAGCAAGGTAATGACTAAGTAAATTTCTATTGTACTAAACCACTACTATTTTGGGGTCACTTTGTTAAAGTAGTGAGTGTTACCTAGCTTATACAGGGACCCACTATATGCCAAGAACTGTGCTAAGTGCTGGGTATACAAAGAGAAGCAAAAGAGTCATGGTCCCTGGTTCATGAGGTTGTTTAGTCATGAAGGGTAGTTAGTCATGAAGGGTAAAAATAAACAAGAAAGAAGCCAGATATATACAGTCACATCCTGCAAAGCACTTCCTTGATTCCTGTCTCCCTGTAGAATGTATCTTGTTTTTTATTTTTATTCATTTATTTTCTTTTGTAGCTTGCTTTTTAATAACCAAACTTCAGAGAACATACTTTTTCCTTGATACAGTGTTTTTTAACTAATATTTGTACAGGGGATGTTTATATTTATATCCTCCCCCAAACTCAATACATTTTAAAACAAAATGATGTGTATGAAATATCTTGCATTGCATTTCAAATACAATTGGTAGAATATCAGAATCACACATAAACATTTTTCAACTTTAAATTTTCAAACATTTCAAGTTTGAAAATCAGAAAAGTTTAAAGAATACACATATACCCTTCATCTAGAGTCACCAGTTGGTAACAATCAGCCATGTTTGTTACATGTCTCTTTATAAACATGCAGGCGCACATGTGCACGCACACACACACACACACACACTTTGCTGAACCATTTGAAACTAATTTGCAGGCATGATGATACTTTATCCCTAAATATTTCCGTACTTACCTCCTATGAACAAGAACATTTTCCTACATGATCACAATACCACTATCACACCCAAGAAATTTAATGTAAATATGCAATATTATCTAATATACAGCCTATGCTAAAATCCCTCCCTTGTCTATAGCTGATTTTTACTAACTTATTTATTATTCCTTTATCTCCAAAATAATACTTCCCCTGCTCCCCAATAATTATGTCCTCCCCAAAACTAAACCAATCCTAACTTGATCCATAGAGTCTGTGCAATTTCAAACAAAATCCCAGCAAATTACTATATGGATATTGACAAGCTGATTCTAAAGTTCGTATGGGGAGGCAAAAGACCCAGAATAGCCAACATAATATTGAAGAAGAACAAAGTTGGGGGATTGATGTTATCTGACTTCAAGACTTACTATAAAACCACAGTAATCAATACAGTGTGGCATTGGCAATAGATCATTGGAACAGAACAGAGAGCCCAGAAACAAACCCCCATAAAGACAGTTAATTGACTGTTGACAAAAGAGCAAAGATAATGCAATGGAGCAAAGATAGTCTTTTCAACAAATGATGCTGAGATAACTGGATCATACACATGCAAAAAATTGAATCTAGACACAGATCTTACACTGTTCACAAAAATTAACTCAAGATGGATCATGGACTTAAATGTAAAATGCAAAACTATGAAATTCCTAGAAGATAACATCAGAGAAAACTTAAGTGACCCTGGGTTTGGCAATCACTTTTTAGATACAAGACCAAAGGCACAATTTATGAAATAAATAAATGATAAGACAAACTTCATTAAAATTAAAAATTTCTTCCTGTGAAAGACAATATCAATGGGCGCCTGGGTGGCTCAGTCGTTAAGCATCTGCCTTCGGCTCAGGTCATGATCCCAGGGTCCTGGGATCGAGCCCCACATCGGGCTCCCTGCTCAGCGGGAAGCCTGTTTCCCCCTCTCCAACTCTCCCTGCTTGTGTTCCTGCCCTCACTCTCTCTCTCTGTGAAACAAATAAATAAAATCTTAAAAAAGAAAAAAAGAAAAAAAAAAAAGAAAGACAATATCAAGAGAATGAGAAGAGAAATCACAGATTGAGAGAAAATATTTGCAAAAAAGACACATCTGATAAAGGACTTTTATTCAAAATATAAAAAAAGAAATCTTAAAACTCAACAAGAAAAGAATCTTATTTAAAAGTGGGCCAAAGACATTCGTGGACATCTTACCAAAGATGGCATACAGATGGTAAATAAGTATACGAAAAGATGCTCTACAACATATGTCATTAGGGAAATGCAAATTAAAACAGAATGAGATACCACTATGCTTTTATTAGAATGGCCAAAATCTGGAACACTGACAACACCAAATGTTGGCAAGGATGTGGAGCAACAGAAACTTACATATGTTGCTGGTGGGAATGCAAGATACCAACACTTTGGAAGACAGTTCGGTGGTTTCTTATAAAACTAAACATATTCTTGCCATACAAACCAGAAATCCTGCTTCTTGGTATTTACAACATAAAATTGCAACTCCAACCAGACCAAAGGAGTTGCAATTTTATGTCCACACAAAAACCTGCACATAGATGTCTATAACAGCTTTCTTTGTAATTGCCAAAACATGGAAGCAACAACATGCTTTTCAGTAGAAGAATGGATAAATAAACTGTGGTACATCCGGACAATGGGATATTTTTCCATGCTAAAAAGAAATGAGTTATCAAGCCATGAAAAGACACACAGAAAACTTAAATGCATATTACTAAGTGAAGGAAGCCAATCTGAAAAGGACACATATTGTATGATCCCACCTATGTGACATTCTAGAAAGAGCAAAACCATGGAGACAGTAGATCAGTGGTAGCACTATCTCCATATGAAGTGGGAGTAGAGGGCATTCTATTCTCAACATAGCTACTTCTAGTTAACAACAGTCAACAAGCCTGATAGCCTGGGCTCTAGAGTTAGACTCCCTGCTTTTGAACAGAAGCTCTGCCAATTATTTGAACTCTGATTACTTACTTATTTCACCTCTCTAAGCCTGTTATTTCGATTAGTGAAATGAGGACAATGGTTCTGACATAGAATTACATGAATTGATGTGTATAAAGAGCATATTAATGTGCCCATGATAAAATCATAGCTATCACCCACTGCATGCCGATTTTCAAATGGTAGCTCCCCTTGTCAAAGTACCTTTGCAGGGCCCAGGAGGGTATATGTGCATGACAGTTTCTCCACTGGAGTCTGCCCTGAGCCATGGGGCTTAGCCCTATTTTTAACTTCAATGTTAGGCCCTGAAGCACTATGTACTCTTCCATGTCTGACTTCTTGCACTTAGCATAATGTTTTCTTTCCTAACATTTTATTATAAAATGTTCATTCATAAAGAAAGGAAAACCGGAGTGTCTGAACATTTACTTTGTGTTAGGAAAGGGCTCCTCGCTGTGGGGCAACAGCATGGAAGTAGGTCATTGAAAGTAAGGAACAGCAGAGCATGACATGGAAATGCCACATCTGTACCTAGGCTTGGCCTCCATCTGTGTCAGCATCTCCCTCCAGGCCTGGGACATCACCGAACCAGCTGGTGGCCTTGGGCTCTGATGATTTCTCTTTCCTTGGACCTTGACTGTCTCACTCTATCACACTCTGTATCAACATATTCCTTTAGTGCTTCATGAAGGCAGATGACAGAACTCCGACCAGACCATAGGAGAAATCAGGTGGACGTGGAAACTAGAGAAACACAGTAGAGGGATGTGTGATCACTGCAACAAAAGATAATTAAATCCTGGTTGACAAAAAGAAGAGGGTCAAGGACAGAGCCAATATTTAAGGAGCAAACAAAGGAAAGGAAATCTATCTGTAAAGAGACCAGGAATGATCAGAGAGATGGGAGGTTAATCTGGAGAGAGTTGGCTCCTAGAAGCAAAGGAAGAAAGGAAAGAAAGGGGGAAAGAAAGGAAGAAAGTGTTTTAATAAGTGGGAAGGGGGGCAGGTCAAATGTGTCCATCTAAGATGAGGTATGTTTATCGGATGAGGAGACCTCATCAATATTCTTCCACTCTACTTGGGGAGCTGTGGCAGCCAGGCCTTTCCTTTGCAGGTGGCAGATTAAAAGAGTCATCCCTGCTAAATCTGGACAATTTAAAGGAAAACTTTGAACGCACTGACAATGGAGGTTCCCCAAGGAAATAGCTCAACCAGATCCTACCCTGAGATATTCAGAATGGATTAGACCTATCTAGAAGCTCAGCGCTTCCAATCCACTTTTGTTAGCCTGTTTGTTTTAAAATCAACTTTATCAATGTATAATTTGCATAAATAAATGCCCTCATTTAAAGTGTATGGTTCAGGGGCACCTGGGTGGCTCAGTCGGTTAAGCATCTGCCTTTGGCTCGGATCATGGTCTCGGGGTCCTGGGATTGAGTCCTGCCTGGGGCTCCCTGCTCAGCGGAGAGCCTGCTTCTCCCTCTACCCTTCCCCCCTGCTCGTGATCTCTCTCTCTCTCTCTCACAAATAAATAAATAAAATCTTTTAAAAAATAAATAAAGTGTATGGTTCAGTACTTTTGACAAATATATACTCCCATGTAACTGCCATCTAATCAGTATACAGAATATTTCCATCACCCCCAAATTTTTCTTATGCCCCTTTACAAGCAACACTTTCCTTGCCCACAAACACCAATTTACTTTCTGTCACCATAGATTTGTTTTGTGTTAATGAATGTCATATAAATAAACTATACAGTACTTTGTGTACTGTAAAATAAACCATATTTGTACTTTTTGTGTGTCTGGATTCTTTCACTCAGCACAATGCTTTCTTCCCAAACCTTTTGTTATAAAAACGTTCAATCACAGAACAAAACTGAAAGAATTTTGCAGTAAACACCCACATACCTACCACTAGATTATACTACAGTTGACCCTTGCACAATGTGCGGGTTAGGGGTGCCAATCACCCATACAGTCAAAAGTCCATGTATAACTTTTTTTTAGATTTTTTTTTTTAAGTAATCTCTACACCCAATGTGGGCTCAAACCCACAACCCTGAGATCAAGAGTCACATGCTCCACCAGCTTAGCCAGCCAGCTGCCCCCATCTATAATTTTTGACTCCCCAAAAGTTTAACTACTAATAGTCTACTGCTGACCAGAAGCCTTATTAATAACATAAACAGTTGATTAACACAGATTTTGTATGTTTTATGTATTATAGGCTGTATTCTTTCAATAAAGTAAGCTAGAGAAAAGAAAATGTTATTAAGAAAATCATAAGGAAAAGAAAATACATTTACAGTACTTTAAAAAATCTGCATAAAAGTGAACCTGCACAGTTCATAGGTGTTGTTCAAGGGTCGACTGTATTAGATTCTACTATACTTGCTTTAATACATCCTTGTGTCCATTTATCAACCCATCTTATTTTTTGATGTATTTTAAAGATGTCAGTACATTTCCCCTAAATACTTTAGCATGCATATCAGACATAATTATCCATGTTGTTGCATAAATGTGTTGCTTGTTCCTTTTTACCGCTGAGTAGTATTCCATTTGCCTATTGATGGATATTTAAGTTATTCCCAGTTTAGTTTTATTATGAATAAAGTTGCTATGAACATTCATATACAAGCCTTGTACAGATATATGCTTTTATTTATCTTGAATAAGTACTGAAAAGTACTTTTGTTGGGTCATATGGTAAGTATACCTTATAATAAATAGCCAAACTGTTTTCTAGGTGGTGCCATTTTACATTTCTGTTAGCACTGTATTTTTTTTAAAAGATTTTATTTATTTATTTGAGAGAGATAGAGGGAGTGAGCGAGAGAGAGAGAGAGCGCACAAGCCAGGGTTGGGGTCAGAGAGGCAGAGGGAGAAGCAGACTCCCTGCTGAGCTGGGAGCCCGATGCGGGGCTCCATCCCAGAACTCTGGGATCATGACCTGAGCCAAAGGCAGACACCCAACCAACTGAGCTACTCAGTCGCCCCTACTAGCACTGTATTAAATTTGCAGTTTTTCCATATTCTCACTGATACTTTATATTGTCAGTTCTTTTGATTTTAGCCATTCCAAAAGTAGGCTTTTAATTTGCATTTCCCTAATAACTATTGATATCAAATATCATTTCATGTATTTATTGGCCATTGTGTATCCTATTTTGTGAAGTGTCTGTTCAAATCTTCGGCACATTTTTAAAATGGGTCATTTGTGGGGCGCCCAGGTGGCTCAGTCATTAAGCGTCTGCCTTCGGCTCAGGTTGTGATCCCAGGGTCCTGGGATTGAGCCCCACATCGGGCTCTCTGCTCAGCGGGAAGCCTGCTTCTCCCTCTCCCGCTCCCCCTGCTTGTGTTCCTTCTCTCGCTGTCTCTCTCTCTGTCAAATAAATAAATAAATAAAAATCTTAAAAAAAATAAAATGGGTCATTTGTTTTATTATAATTGTTCATATATTAAAGTTTTATGTCCATTGTGAGATATATATTGGAAATATTTTCCCCTGGTCTATGGTTTTCCCATATTTTTATTTTCAATCTATTTGTATCTTTGAATCTAAAGTGTGTCTCCTATACAGTTATAGCTGTAGTCAGTCCAGTCTAACAAGCTTTCTTTTTGATTGGATTATTTAATCCATTTCCATTTATTATTATTATTGATATAACTGGATTTGTGTGTGCCATTTTACTTTTAGTTTTCTATATGTCTTGTGTCCTTTCTGTCCCTCTATTTTTTTTTCTGCCTCCTTTTGCATTAAGTGAATATTTTTTAATGCAGCATCATAATTTCTTTAATGATTTTTCAATATATATTTTTGAGTTATTGTTTTAGTAATTTCTCTAGGGTTTACCATATAAATCTTAACTTATCAGAAGCAGCTGGGATTTATACTAGCTAGTTCCAATGATATGTAGAAATGTTACTCCTACACAGCTCTATTTCTTCTTTCCTCCTTTTGTGGTATTTTGTTATATATATCACATCAATTAATGTTACACATCCCAAAATACATTGGTACAATTATTGCTTTACCATCTGTAGTAATTTCCTTATCCCAGTATGGCTTTGTTCCTACCCGCCTCCTCTGTGCTATTATTGGCAAATATATTTCACAAACATTAATTTCTACATGTTATAGGCACAACAATCCATTATATTACTTTATACAATTGCTTTTCAAATCAATTCGGAGGAAGAGAAAAATAATTTACACGGTCTTTATTTTATTTTTATTTTTTGTTTTTAATTGAATTATAGTTTACTTATAATATTACATTTGTTCCAGGTGTACAACATAGTGATTTGACAACTATATACATTATGAAATGCTCATCATGATAAGTCTATTTACCATCTGACTTATTTCAGCATAATACACTCTAGGTCCATCTATGTTGTCACAAATGGTTAAGATTCCATTCTTTTTTAGGACTAATATTCCATTTTGTGTATATATGTATATATATGTATGTATGCATATATATGCATCACACCTTCTTTATCCATTCCTGTATTGATGGACACTTAAGTTGCCTCCATACCTTGACTATTGTAATTAATGCTGCAGTAAATATAGGGGTGCATATATCTTTTTGAATCAGTGTTTTCATTTTCTTTAAGTAAATACCCAGCAGTGGACTTACTGGATATTACGGTATTTCTATTTTTTTTTCACTGTTCAAAGTTTATTTGGTATTTTAGTTGGTATGATACTTATATAGTTGGTTGCATTGTCTTTTTTACATTATATGGCAATGTACACTATATTCTGACATAGGTAGTACACAAAATATGATCCTTTAGAACACTTATGTACAATACATGCAATATTGAATTTATACATTGGATCCCAGGGTGTGACTGACTGGAGAAAAAAAAGATGGACTAGGCATGTTGGGTTTGGGTGAAGGAATCAGAAGTTACAGAACACACAGTAAATACACAACTGGTCTGGACATTCGGGGTACCGGCCGTGGTGCCTCTGATGTGACGGAGCCATTTGACATTAACCGGTTTAGGACTACACAACACAGTTATCTTCCAGCGTCAGGATATGGCTACAGGGTATGGAGAGCCATTCCTATCTGTAGCTTTAGGAAACTGATGTTTTTCCTAAGCTATTTTATTTTATTATTTTTTTGACCTTTTATTTAATTATGAGAGAGAGAGCATGAGCAGGAAGAGGGGCAGAGGGAGAGGGAGAAGCAGGGAGCCCAATGCAGGGGCTCAATCCCAGGACCTCAGGATCATGACCTGAGCTGAAGGCAGACACTCAACGCACTGAGCCACCCAGGCGCCCCTTAACCCAGGCCCAGGGGGCCAGCTCAGTAGCCGGTGGGATATTTAAACAAGGAGCTTGATCTGGTGGCCTGCAGCTAGCCGGCATGCCTTAGGGCAGTGGTGGCCACTGCCTTCTTGGTCCCCTAGGCCACAAAATATACAGGCCTGGAAGGAGCCCTCCACCTTTTCTCCTGTGAACATCTACCTGATAGGTAGATAAGCACGTGGACAAAAACCTGATTAGGTGACAGGCGGGTGGGGGGCTTATCAGATTAAAACAACCAACACCAAAAAGTTCTCGGGTCCCCTCCCTATCCAGGAGCTTCCTACATTCAATAAACTTTGCTTTGCTGCGCCCCACTCTTTGTCTGGTCTACCTCTTCATTCTTTGAAGTGACGTGACCAAGAACCTCGCGACCAAAGGAAAAGAAATCCTGCAACAGAACTACCACTTCAGAACAGAGGTAAGCGTGATTAGGATCCTAGTATTCCAGCATTCCCGACCAAGGTAGATCCTCTGTTACATGAGTGGGCTGGATGGAAAAAGGAGCCTCCATCTCTCAACCACACTTACCCTGGACTTAGCCTTAATATCAGGTAGCTCGGGGCAGGGTGAGAATTGCAGACATCCTGCTCCTCCCACTGGGATCGTGGGGAGAGGAGGCCCTGTGTTCTTGATTGCAGCAGACTGACTGGTCAGCTGGTCTTGACTGAAATACCACAGATTCTCACTCACTTTTCTTATCAAATTTTCATAGATTTTCTTGAATAGATGTTTTTTCATTTGCTATTTTCTCTTAGGACTATTTCTAAGGCTTTAAATGATTGTGGTTTGCTTGTTTTAAAATGATCTTCATTAGGAGCACCTGGGTGGTTCAGTTGGTTGAGTGTAGGATTCTTGATTTCCGCTCAGGTCCTGATCTCAGTCAGGGTCGTGAGACCGAGCCCCAAGATGGGTTCCATGCTGAGCATTTTAGAGTTCTCTCACTCTAAAACATAAAAAATAATTTTCATCAGTTTCACTAGGGAGTGGGTCACTGGACCTCTTCATGCTGTCATGCCAGTAGTTAATCTCTTGGCAGTATTCTTGTAAGTTTCCTATAAGCTTAAATTGAATTGAAAAGTTAAGGGAAGGGCGCCTGGGTGGCTCAGTCATTAAGCGTCTGCCTTTGGCTCAGGTCGTCGGGCTCCCTGCTCAGCAGGGGA